TCAAGCATGAAGGCAACGAAAACTCCGATCCACGCGGTCTGGTCATGGGTCAGGAGGCAGCCGCCAAAGGTGAAAGCTTTCCTTGCGGTCGTGTCGGGCATGGCGGCTCTTGTTCTTCTCAGATTCATCGTACACGATCACGACAATCTCTTCGTTGCCGCCGAAGCTGTTCATTCAATCGGAATCTCTGTTCTTATCTATAAACTCATGAAGGAAAAGACCTGTGCTGGTACTTGCTAAATCCCTGCTTTTTGACTTGGGTTTTTCAATTTAGGGCTTTCGAGTTGGGATTCAAATCATTTTGTCTTTAGGACACAGTTGTTTTGCTTTAACCTGAGAATTTCGATCTCTGTTAGGTTATAAAAATCTATAGTTTATTCAACTTTTGAGTATGGTTCGAATCACCAAATCTTCGAAACTTGTGTCGAATTGGTAATTTAGTTGAATCAGCATCCTCATTACAGATTCAGAATCAGTTTTGAAGCCCGAAGTTGCGATTAAGCCTAATTATATAAACATTTTGTGGTTTGTCATTGATTTGCAGGATTGTCATTGAAATCGCAGGAGCTTACGGCGATATTTCTAGCTGTGAGGCTGTACTGTAGCTTGGTTATGGAATACGACATACACACCATTCTGGACTTGGCTACTTTGGCTGCAACTCTCTGGGTTATCTTTATGATCCGTTTTAATTTAAGGACTAGTTACATGGAGGACAAAGACAACTTTGCTCTCTATTATGTGGTAAGTCATCTGCTTTTATTCTCGGTGGTATCGATAAACTGTTTTCTCTAGATTCTGTGCTAAAAGTCTTAGTTTTTAGTCAAGCTTTACCGTGTAATGTCAGATGAAGTTTATAAGCAAGAGCTACAACGCTATTTGGAAGCTTTCCAGAACTAGATTCTTTTAAGCTACAAGTTATAAAAAAGTGTTTCTTCGTATTTGCATAAGTATCAAATTTGGTTAATCTGGACATTACATGCTCTTCTGAGCATGGTATCGCCAACTGCTGTTGAATTACCTTGAGGATTCACAAAATGTTGATTTTTGGTCCCTTCTCATTTTTGCAGCTCGTGCCTTGTGCTGTGTTAGCTGTATTGATTCATCCATCAACTTCACACAATATATTCAATAGAATATCCTGGGCATTCTGTGTTTACCTCGAAGCTGTTTCAGTACTGCCACAGTTGAGAGTGATGCAGAACACAAAGGTATGCATTTTATAAGGTTTAATAGGTTGCTATGGCAACTTGAGAACTAAAAATCATAAGTCTAATCCCTGATATGTTTGGTTCATTCAGATTGTCGAACCTTTCACGGCTCATTATGTTTTTGCACTTGGAGTAGCGAGATTCCTTAGCTGTGCACACTGGGTCTTACAGGTATGTTCTGATCTTCAAGAGAGAGTTAAGATTACTTGGTCAATTTGTTATTTTCTTGTGTTGAGAATCCAATGGTTTCAAACATAGATTTTCTGAACATGCTATTCTCATGGCCCTGAAGCAAGTGATCAACTCTATAGTATCCCCGTTCGCTAGAAACTGTCAGGATTTATTGTGCGATTTTTCCTAAAGTTACACATAAATTGAATTTGGTCTTCTGGGTCCAAACAGGTTGTAGACACTCGCGGACGCCTGCTTGTAGCACTGGGTTACGGACTATGGCCATCAATGGTTCTAATCTCTGAAATTGTCCAAACATTCATCTTGGCAGATTTCTGCTACTACTACGTTAAAAGGTACTCTTTCTGTTTTTTCTTCATCTGCAGGCTTCTTGATCTTGAGTCTTTTTTCGGTTACGCTTGTTTAATTTTCCTTACACCATTTTTCTTGTGCAGTGTTTTCGGAGGTCAGCTTGTTCTCCGACTTCCATCTGGAGTTGTGTAAGTTAAAAGATACAAAAGAAGAAGAAGAACGATAGATACTTTGATGACGGTTGTTACTCAAAAGATTGGACCTCAGCTTTGTGTATTTGCACAGCCTGAGGTTGCTCAAATTACTCCCTGAAACCAAATCCTAATTTTTTCTTAACTCTTGTGTATATGTTTGAGGGGCATCAAACACGGTCGCTTGGATATTATTGACATGATTTGTTTCACAGGACTTGTGCTTAGTTAGTTAAAACAGAGTTTCAGACTTCATATAAAAACTTGAAGTATTGGATAGTTTATCGCAGTTGTTTTCCGCTTCATTAAGTTTGATGTTTTACAGAAAATGGGTGTCTTTTAACTTCTTCTATCGTTCATGCGTAATGGAAGAGAAGGTGAAGAGTTCAAAAATCAAAAGAGACAAATAGTTGTGATTTCAGTGATGGCATAATAGATAATACTAATAGAAAGAGAAAGCAAACTTTGATTTACAATAGATTCATTCACTGGGAAAGAATATGAATCTGAAGGATTTGTATATACACCATTTTTGCCTGTCGTAGTAGAGAATTGTATCGTCAAATTTGATCAGACTCTTTCAGACTTTCAGGCAATAGACCACACACAATCTTGTGTCAAAGATTCTCAGT